TTGGAGCCATTGGACGTCTTACTACTTGGAGACACCTGCCGCTTGGAGACGCTGTTCCTGTGGTTCAATTACATTTGGGAAGCTTTCTCGGATGAAAGCGCTTAGAAACTTTCATCCTTCGGAGGTCTTCAGTGGAAGGAACGGCAACATGTTGAACGATTTCTCCATTATCCCATGGAGAATACAAGTAGGTAGCGATTTGATATTCTCCAGTATCTAAAGGAACACGCGAGCGTGATTTGTGCCCACGGCGATGTTTGGCCCAGTGCTGAATCGTGCAGGGTGGCGATATTTTGGACAAACTTTGCAATTGAATCTGTTTTCTCATGTTGTTGAAAGAGCAGCGAAGATCAGTTACTATCCTCCAACGGATGGTTGGGGAGAACCAATTGCAAAGTATATTGCGTTACATACAGCACTCTGGCTGCTACGAGAAAACGATGTAGTGCTTCGGCACATTGTCTCACTCAAACCTTCCTCGAACGGTTTAGCAGAGGTGAATTATCTTCCACATAGTCCCGCACTTCATTCACAAGCTATGCTGTTGCAGTAGGCTACTGATATTGCACTACCATTATTATTGCTCTTTCAAGCACGCGGTCGTTGACGTATTTTCACCGTCGTTAAAAATGCAGATACGATTTCTCCGACTAAATATCATGGTTGTCAGACTGACAGACTGACTCACTCACTCACTCCTGGAACCAAAAAGTCACCCCAATGACCAAGCACAACACAACCACAACAACAAGTCGAAGCTGCGTGTGATGGTAGCAGTGGTGAGAGGAATCTAATTGATTGGAAACCATTGAATGCAATTAATCGGCAATATCGCATTTTTAATAGTACTCTAGAGCTGTTTCGCCATTCGCAGACAAAGCAAAGCATTGCCAAACCCCCAATTCCCATTTTAGTGGACACAACAAACAATCATGGAACTCCATTCGTCTGCCTCCGCTTCTCGGGAACCCTTGCATGAAATACCTCGATCGATACACCATCATAATACCTTGGGAACGGAAAGCAAACAAAGACGTTACAAGAACCGCAAACGAAAAGTGAACCCCAAACTTAATCGCTTTTCCAATTATCTCATCTTTGGATTGGGTGGTACCATGTGTTGCGCCAGCTTCTTGTTTTGTTACGTTATGGTATTGGTGTGTCTTTGGCCCTTGCTGATTGCCCAACCAGAAATTATTCCTGATGAAACCCCACGGGAGTACTTGCAACACATGCATATTCCTGTATCCCTTCAAGAGGCCCGAGTCCCTGGAAAGGAAAAGTTGCACAAAATGGCCGATGTTGTCAAGAACCGAATTGATCAGCTGAAAAAAGGGAGAGGCGTTTCAGATGCCCAGTTATTGGAACAAGCCAAGAAAGAATTTGAAGGAAAGGGGAAGGAGCGCGAAGCACGTGATAAACTGATTGATCGATATCTGAATGATGAAGAAGAGGAGCCAAATGCCGTCGGTGTAGTGGGTCATGCACCAGAAGGCCAAAGAAACGGATTCATTGTCTTGGGAATGCACAGATCTGGTACCAGTATGCTTTCTGGATTGTTGGTGACTGGGTGCGGCTACCAAGTCGGAAAAAGTAGTGATCTCATTGGCGCTAGTTTTGATAATGAGAAGGGCTTTTTCGAAAGAGTAAGTTTTGTGGCGATGACTGTGTTGTGAAGAGACAGGGTGGGTGCAAGTGAAATTCTCTACAGATCAATGATGCCATCTCGCCCTTATTTGGACTGTAGTTATTTGGACTGTAGTCCTAACCATTTTCATCGTTTCTTTCCCAAAAGGTCGATGTGGTATTACAAAATGACGAATTCTTCTTCAACCAAGATATGGCGTGGGAACACAATGTCATTAATTTCGACTTCGAACAGGCATTGCAAGATAAAAAGGAAGGAAGTATTCCCTTCAAGCACGGTAAAACGGGTCTGAAATGGTTGAACAGCCCGTTCCATGTTCCATATTTGCAAAAGGATCCCCGCATGTGCATCACGTTGAAAACTTGGTTGAAACTACTGAATCATGAACCAGCAGTTATCTTCACTTACCGGCATCCAGTGGAAGTTGCCAAGTCCCTCCACAAACGTGAAAAGGGCTTTACGATGGAAAGAGGATTGAGATTGTGGATTGTCTACAACATGAGAGCATTGCAAAATGCTCGAGAACTCTGTGTGGTAAAGTCTAGCAATACAGCCGTCTTGGCCAATCCACTGAAGGAAACCCAACGGATTGCTGACGAATTGACCAGCAAGTGCGGAGTTGTCGCCCCACCCAAGATGATTCAACAAGAAGATGTGGACAAGTTTGTCGACCCGAACCTACAACACAACAAAAAGGGCTCAAGCGGCAGTACCCAACGGATCTTGCATGAATACAATGATGGAAAATGCAAGGTTTATGAATTCAAATCTGAACTGGAGGCAAATGATCCAGGTCGAGCACGAGAAGCCCAATTGTATGAATGGGCAATGAAGATCTATTGTGATTTGGAATCAGGCAAGGCATACGAATTCGATTACGAATGGCCACTAGGATAAGAAATGCTAAAATAAACGAGAATATTGAATACGAATAAAAAATGTCGTGCTTGTAGTGCTAGGTAGTCTCAGTTTGAACTGATTCGTTTCCTACCTTTTCAAATATTCTTCAAAGCTCTACTATTGATTACAAGTCATCAAAGTCAAAATCCTCTGCCTTTGCTATCTTGGCACGGTTGGCCATGGCACTATCGCCCTCGTCCATTTCTTCATCACTGTCGCCTCTGAAGAAGTTGGCCATTTCCTGGGATTGCTCGTCCATGGTATTCTTCTTGTCATCTTCGACAGACATTTGTACAAAGTCCATTTCATCGCTTTCCTTGAGTGATGAAAGAACTTGGTCGTCATACTTGGACAAGTCAAATGCAGCACCAAAGTTGGTGACAATGGTGGCACCACCCTTGGAAACTTCAGGTTCGGCATCGGGAGGTGGAACTGTGTAGTATGGAATCTTTCCGTGATTCCAATCCTTCAGGACCGACCGGGCGGCCCCAATCTTGTCAGGAATCCCTCCCTTCAAAACCCGCCCATACGACTTGGCGACCATTGCCAAGAACATCATAGTATTGCCCTTGGGGAAAGCTGGGATGTTGTAGGTCATGATCAAACTCTGAGGATTGCATCTCTTCAACAAAGCATCAACGGGAGGAATGGGGTCATCAATCGAATCGGGATCGACACAGTTGCCCAACAGGGCTGACTTATCATCAAATACGACTCCGGGACTGTCCAACAAACGAACATTGCGATCCAAGACGACTTCTTGCATCGAGGTGGTGAATCCAGGTCGGGGACTGACGCCGACTGCACGAGACCGCTTCAAGGCGTTGATAATGGAAGACTTTCCAGTGTTGGGATACCCAATGACACCAACGCAAATAGTTGTTTTGGACTTTCCACCCGTTCCACCAGTACGGGCATAGTTCTTTAGCAATTGCAACAGACCATCCATACCGACTGGGTTGGTCGAAGTACTAGCATCTTCTTCGTCCGCCTTGCGAATATTACTAGCTTTGATGGCAATGGCAGGGTGAGACCGTCTCAACACTGTCAACCAGTTGCCAACAACCTCTTTGGGTACCAAATCAATTTTATTCAACACCAACACCATGCGTTTATCCGCCTTGGAAAGAATGATTTCTTCCATCGTCTTGTGAATTCGAGTTCCAATGGGATCACGAGCGTCCAAGACTTGCAAGAGGACATCGGCTGTATCCACCACTTTCTTCAATTCGCGCAAATATGCCCGGCGAGATTGTTGTCCAGCAGCAACAGTTCCATCAGACTTTTCCATGTCGCTGTCAGAAGCCACCGAAGCCTTGGCGGCAAATACCTGTTGATCTTGAGTTGCCCGTTCCATTAAATCTTGGACTGTTCGAGCTGTTCCCCCCTGTGCTTGATGTTCTCTCAAGGCTCTCAATTCTGCCTTTCGCTGTTCCTTGGTCTGCTGTTTTTGTTCTTGTTGTCGTTCTCTGGCTTTGGCAATATCTTTGAGCAGATCTTGTTTAAAAGGCCACGAGTTGGGGATTCCCGGATCCCGCTTGGTTTTATCGGGTCTGACAATGCCGTTCTTCGCATCTCGTTTGCCCTGCTTTTTGCGTTTTCGATTGGTTTCAAGAACGCGTCGTTGCATCTTGTACTTGTCCTTAAGCGTCGTACGCTTGGACTTTCCTTTCTTTTTCACCATCTTAAATTATTGAATTGTAGCTTTGCAATAGATGCTGGTCTTTTGTTGATTTGAAAACTTCGGAACAGAAAGATGGATGGAAGATTTGAAGAAAACAGAAACTCGGTTGGCCTGGAAATGTTACTCACAGAAGGACAGACATTGGTGGACCAAAGGACATACTGTACATTTGTGGATCAAGGACAGACAGGGACAATTCAACGATGATGGGCCTCAGAAGTCAGAAGGAGGACAGACGCAAGCTTCGCCAACTGACGAAATCAGACAGGTGAACATTCACTCGGGACTCGTCACTTACGTCACTCCGTACACATGATACGACCATTTAGTTTTTGAATCACGAATCCAACGTACAAACTGACCAACCAAATCTTCCGATAACAGGTATTGTACTGTTGTGATGTGTTGGCAACCTCATCTTCCTGCATCATCATTGCCGTCGTCACAGATTCTCCGATCACAAATCCAAGTATCCTTCACCTTTTTCTCAACCGTCTCTATACACCATGAAATTCTCTGCTACTTTGCTCCTATCTGCTCTTGCTACCTCCTCTGCCTTTGTGGCTCAACAACCTTCTCCTTCCATCCGATTGGGAAGCACTGAAATGTACGCACGAAAAGCTTTCATCACAGGAAACTGGAAGTTGAACCCACAAACCAAGGACGAAGCCATCGAGCTTGCTACTGGAATTGCTAGTGCCGTCACCGATGACTCCCCATGCGATGTTGCCCTCTTTGTCCCTTTCCCATACATTGAGAGCGTCCAAGAGACTGTTGGCGACAAAGTGATTATTGGTGCCGAGGTACGTTGCGATACTGAGAATACCGCATATGTTGCTTTGTGGCTGACGCATACATCTGATTCTGTTCTATTCTATTCTATTCTATACTATCCTGCAATCTCTACTACTTTCAACCATTCATCACTATGATCATTAGGCCACAACGCCCCAAATCAACGGAGCTTTCACAGGAGGAGTTTCCCCAGTCATGCTCAAGAGCATCGGGTGCACTTGGGCCCTTGCCGGGCACTCCGAACGTCGTGTCATCTTCAAGGAAAGCGACGAAGAAATCAACGAACAGTGTAAAATGCTTATCGAACATGATATGAACGTAGTCTTGTGCATTGGTGAAACCCTTGAAGAATTCGAAAAGGAATTGGTCGGAGCCGTTTGCGAAATCCAACTCAAGAAGGGACTTGCGGGTATCGACAAGAAAGACTTGGACAAGGTCACCATCGCCTACGAACCCGTTTGGGCCATTGGAACTGGAAAGGTCGCCACCCCCGAAATTGCCCAAAGCGTCCACGAGACGATCCGTGGCATCTTGAAGGGCATGTATGGAGAGAAAATTGCCGATAGCACTCGCATCTTGTATGGAGGATCTGTCAGTCCTGAATCTGTCGATGGATTGGTTGCCAAGCCGGACATTGATGGTGCCTTGGTTGGGGGAGCCTCCCTTAACGCCGAAGGATTCGGGCGCATCATCAACCATGAATCCGAATAAATTGTCGAAAAAAACGAAAAACGGAAAATGAGCAACAGCAAACGCGCTACGCTAATCATGGTGTATTTCAATGTTCAATGTAATGTAGATACTAAACAGCTTGAGAAGAAATCTTCTTTTTGGGAAATCCTGGAGTCAGTACCGGTACAGCACCTACAGTACCAGTATTCTTTTTTGACCATTGATTTCGTGAGGACGAGAAGGGTTCGTTTTTTTTCGTTTTCCGCCGCCGATCAACGACCACTCTCTTCGTCAAAGGCCTGTCTGTCCGTCCTGTCTCACTTTTCAACGGAAAACAAAATTATTCGAAACACATGATCAGGCCGGTCCACAGAGTTTTGACTTTGGAACGAATTGAGTTGTTGTGATTATTGTAAGAGTGTGTTTGACCATCTACCACACCAGCACCTCGCATCTATTCACAATATAAGACCGAAAATTCTGCAGTAGTCGCTTCGTCAAAATTTTGCTGAAGAGTATTTGACGATCTAATCTCATTGAAAAGACTTGACTGCATCACATAGAACACAATGTTTCAATCACGCAATCGGTCGTTATCAGAAATTATTGTTGTAAGTTCTAAGTCACCAGAGTATTTGGAAGCAACTGGAGTGAAATCATCATACTTACAACCGAGTTATGGTTAAATTTTGAATTTTCAGGCTGTCACCTTTGTCAGTTTCCTGACAGGTTTTATCGCTGTGTTGTGCATTGGCAATTACTATCGAGCCAAGAAAGCTATGGAACGACAAAAGCAACGCCGGTTGGCCAAACTGACTGGCAATGCGGGCAATGGCGTCATGGGGGTTGATTCGCCAGGCTCCAATCAATCGACAGTAAGTTATTACAGCGACGAGCATGGACACCTATTGTCCACACAGAAATCAGCTGCTAGTCGGCGTCGGAGTGCGGAAGAATCAGAATCATTACTATTGGATATTGATGCGGGCCCACGCCTCCGACAAGTATGATGACGCTGATTATCAATGACGAAGATGTCAAGTCGCGGTGATGTCGAATGTTGGTCATTCAAGATGGTGGCAGCGACATGATATTCTTGTGAACGATTCGGGCTTTCATTGGAGTGTAGGGCTAGCACATCAATGGAGCACATCAATGGAAGAAGGTAATCGACTTTATCTTGTCTTCTTATGGGCACCTGTTATATTACTTGAATGACACCTGCAACAATCACTTTTTGGAAGCAGCCTGAGCATTATATAGCTGAACTGCAATTCAACCCAATGTGCTACACTCTGGCGCACGGGGTCCCAATCAAAGCATGAATAGGCAGGAAGATGAACAGGGCAAGAAGATGACTCTCTAGCTGACTTGCGATACAAGTTGATAAAGAATTTTTTTACAATCCTAGGTATTGCACAGGCATTAGAATGATACTGGGCCTCGTTTCGAGTTGTTTCATCCGATCCTATTTTGGAAACCAACGTTTTGGGCGACTTTCCGACAACTTGATTGTATCAAACTCTGTGTCAGCTTGCTTTGCCTGTTCAGGTGACATTCCACAGCACAAGTGGCAATTCAAATCTTCGGTATTCATGCCAAATCTCTAAGCTCAACTGGCAACAGAATTGTGGCCACGATTGCTGTCAATTGTCGTCGAAGATGTCTGTCACATGATACTTCGGAAGTAACTAGTGTGTGCTATCGTGCTATCTACCATCGCTACCGGACCACTGTAGCGTCCCTGCGCGAACTTTAGTGCTAATAAGTAGTCGAAGCAGTCCACATTGACTGATCTGACTCTACGCTACCAGACTGGACCTGCTGCAGTTCATGATTTTATTAACAGTCATAAATTGACAACGAAATAACGACCATTAGAGAATAAAAATCTACTGCTACTATCATGGACCAGACAACAACATTAGCTGATGCTCTATTGGACGATCTCAACGATTTGATGGACTCGGACGAGGAAGCCGATGCTCCCCCAACCACACAGAGTGAACCGAACATCAAGAGTGAACCACAAGAGTCTTCCATGGCGGCTGCCATTGATTCCTCCATTGCCAGCCAAATGATGAATAATAATATAAAGCAAGAACTCTCGAAACCAGAAGCAAAAGCTCCCAAGATGCATTTGAAACCCTCTTTGGTAGCTCATTTGGAATATATTTCGAAGCTCGACGCGAGTCAGGAGTACCAAGAAAAGTCGCAAAAGGAACGAGAAGAAGAGGACCATCATCTAGTGGTCAAATCTAATAAGTTTCTTTCCAACTTGGCTGACGAACTTGAAAAAGCACATGGAGCCTTGGCCACGGCGTACAAGCCAAAGTTTCCAGAATTGGAAGAGTTGCTACCCAATTATGTTCAATTCAAAAATGCGGTCCGCGTCATTTGGAATGAAATGGATCTAACCAAAGTCAATGATGAATTGAATGAAATCTTAAATAGCAACCAAATCATTACCATTTCCGTGGCAGGAAGTACGACCTCGGGGCGGATCTTGACTAAGGAAGAATTGGCAGCTGTGGATGAAGCGGCCACGTACATGGAGAATTTGCTCGACGTGCAGACCAAGTTGATTGACTTTGTGGTGAGGTCGATGGAAGGCTTGGCGCCCTCTGTATGTGCGCTCATTGGGCCATCTACTGCTGCTAGATTGATTGGTTTGGTGGGTGGTTTGGCAGAACTGACCAAGATTCCTTCTTGCAATCTGCAAGTGATTGGTCAAGTCAAGCAAAACAGCACCTCTCGAGCAGGCATGTCCAATGCTTCGACCAAACGACATGTGGGGATTTTAGCGGATTGTGACTTGGTCAAGTCGGTACCGAAGCAAATGCAAAAGAAGGCACTCAAGCTGGTGGCCGCCAAGCTAGCACTGGTTGCGAGGTTCGACTATGTCAATGTCGATAGTGGTCGTACCCGCAGTGCCAACACTGGATTGCAATTCCGCACGGAAATCGAAAACAAGTTTGAAAAGCTCCAAGAACCCGATAAGGCACCTGTATTGAAGGCACTCCCAAAGTAAGTCATCATTCCTCAAACAATCACAACAGGTCCTTGCACGCAACTGGTTGTCTCAACACTTTGTCATTGAAAAGCACACCAGCTGTTTTCTTCGATGGCAAATCTCCATCACTGTTGCGTTTTGTCGTAGCTAATTGCACTGGGCTGCTGTTTGAACTTTCGTTCGTCGCTGCTATTCCAGGAGTTCTGGCTCCATAATCAAACGATTGGTATCATTCTCACCTCTTGTTTGTGTCTCCTCTTTCTTCTCTTTTCTTTCTTTCTAGACCCGATTTGGCTGTCAAGAAGCGCCGTGGTGGAAAGCGTATGCGACGATGGAAGGATCGATTCGAAGAGACGGCCATGATGAAGCAAGCCAATACTAGGGCATTCTCGGAACAACATGGTGAATATGGTGATGATGCCATGGGAATCTCCATGGGTCTCTTGGATACCGCCGATACGGGTGGTGCCATTAGAAAGACTACCGAAAAGCGAAAGATGCGACAGGCCAACTCCAAGGCGTCTCGTAAGCGGGCCATGCAAATGGCACAGCAAGCGAAAAACAATGATGGACTGGCAAGTAGTGTTGTCTTTTCGCAAAGTAGTAGTATGGAATTGGTCAACCCAGATGCCAATAGGAATCGGGTGAAGGAGGCGAACAAGAAATGGTTCAAAGATAATGCTGGTTTTCAGTCAGCGTTGCCCAAGAAGTAATTTCATGTTTATAAGTGTGTAGAGGGTAAGATAGCGTGAACCATCAACTAGAAGCAACCAAAAAACATTTTCAAAGCAGTAGTATGACTTCTATCATTATTATTACAAGTCGAGTTGGTGATTATACAAGTTGGAAAGGCAGAAGTCTTATTTTGTACGCCCTCCCTGTAGCAGTCTTTGATTGTGACGTTGTCGCAGTTTTCGCATCTTGTACTCAGCAGCTGCCTTGGTGAAGGTAAATTGACCCCCAATGCTCAGCGGCAACACTTGCTTACCGCCCTTGGTTTTGACTTGGAACCCCTGAATGTTGCGGGTCCAAGATTCGGGAACAACTTTCATCCCTTCCACTTCTCGGCTATGTGAGATCACTACATTGGCAAAGCTGTAGGTCGATGCTGATTTCTTGAACTGCTCCAACACTGTCTGGTTGACGTAACCATCATCGCAAGCTTTCACAAATACTCGTTTCAGGACCTTTTGCCGTTCTTGGCCATCCTGTATGAGGTTATTACAGGCTTCCAGAAGAGCTGCGTAGGTAGAAGAATCCGGTTGCAAGCCGTTGGATCTCATCTCGTCAAATATTCTCAATACCAGTGTCATGGTCTTTCTGGAATTCTCGGTGCTCCCACAGTTGGCACAAACATCTATAAAGGAACTAAAGGCTGGCACATAGGTCTGATCAGCATCGGTCGAAAACTCGGCCCGATCCGTCATCCGTCGAAGAATGTTCAGGGAGCGAGGAACTTTGTTGGGTGATTTGCTGTTCTTCCAGACGTCAAATGTGAACTTGTAACTCTCAGCATTCGGTTTCAGACCGTCTACTGCTGAGGTATCGGCTTCTTCTAATGCTGTGAGTAGTGTCTCGGCATGTCTCGTCGCCTTGGTATTTTTCGAAATAGTCAGAGCCTCCAAGACATTGTTGTAGTCTTTGACAGTCGGCCTAATAGTGACAGTTGTGGTTCGATGATAGGCCTTGGTCATTTCTTGCAGCAAATCTAACGCCCGTTGGACAGCTCCTTCTCGGTCTTCGCTCTCTCGAGCTGTAGCAACGTGATTCCAAGCTTGAATGGCCGCGCTGTAACATTCTGAATCAGGAATGAACATCGCTTCCTTCATTTCTTTGAGCATGTTGTCGGCTAACTCTCCAACCTCGGGTACGTTCACCCGACGAGATATGGTAGTCAAGGTATCCCTGTAGCATGTCTCATCCGGTGCTAATTCAGTGTGACCCCGCTTATGTGCACCAGAAATAATTTGGATGACGCTGCATGCCTTGGATGGAGCGTTCTTGTCTCTGAAGAAAAGCATCGGGTATCAGTTTTGTTTCAGGTCCTTCTGTGGATATTCAGATACGATAACTTACTCTGCTGTAGTCCACGCGTGGAATAAGACGTGATAATCGTCCAGAGATGGTTCCATATCCGACTTTCCAGTCTCCAACAATCGCATCATTCTCATTAAGTGACCGGTAGCCGTGAACGCACATCGTCTCTCCTTACTCCAACACCAGGCGCGAATGATATTCTTGTATGATTCGCCATTGGGGTGCTCAATTTGTTGAAAGATTTGCTCCGCCATGGTACCCCTCAAGTACTCCTTGCTGTAAGCCCAGGCCCTCAGAAGTTGATTGGAGGCCTCGATCGGCAAATTCTCATGGATTTGCCAAAAGTGTTGAGCCCGTTGAGGAATTCCTCTCACAAAATCGCCTTTGAAAACACTGGTAGTATGGGAAGCTTCGGATACATTTGCCAAGGCTTTAAGAACAGCCACAATATGATGGCGCGATGGGCTATCCATAGACTCGAGAATTTGAGACGCATGTTCGGCAGCCTTACCCATTTCGTGGACGTTGCGGTGCACTTCGCTTAGGTTGGATTCATTGCTACCACTAGAAATAGATTCATTCAGTTGTTGTTGACACTTCGACTGATAAACAATCCAAGAATCCATGACGGCTGTTTGAATTTCGGGTGTGACTTCCTTCGAATCCATCATGAAGAGTTGATTCAAAATTGTGTGTGCCTCCATAGGATCGTCCTGAAGAGAATGTTTCAGTACCAGCTGTTGAAGTTGTGCTGGAGTCATGGATGACCCATCATATGTTGAAAAGATCCTGCTTGCTGGACTTGACCAGGAAGGGGGAGGTTGGCAAAGGGCACCATACGGTCGAATGTTGTGTGATGCTATCAACCCTCGGGTAGCAACCGTGTGCGTAGACTGATACAGTGACTGCCAATGCGAAGTAGACGCTCGATTTCTGGAGAGACGAAGGGCAGCACGCCCCGAAGCAAAGGCACTCATTCCAGGATGCTATCTTACCCCAGTTTAATGATGGTAATGTGATGATGCACATTGAACATCGAACTTCAAAATGAAAATTATTGGGTCATGAGCCGCGGTGGAATCCGAGCAGTCGCCTCCAACAAATCTGCAGACGGACTTCAAAACAAATCAAAACAAATTTCCATCCGGAAAGCAACTATCAACGAAAGACGAGCGATCATGCCCGACTCTGATTCCGATAGCAGCAATGAGGGGTTTCAGGTCCGAGTCGCTCTCAAGCTGGCGAGTACTGTGGAGAATCGATCCCTAGAGGTTCCAACCGAACCAATCGCAGTTCCTGCCGATATTGGAAGAAAGGGATTGTCAGCTGTGGTGAATCACTTGCTCGGTCGATCGGTTGGTGACAACGATGACAGTGATAATGACAGCAAAAGTGATGCTGACGAGGAAGACGATGACAAGGCCCAACTGAACTTTGAATTCATTGTCTCGGGTACCAACAACAGACTGTTACGAAAGGGAGTGGAACGGGAAGCACGGCAACATGGAATTAGTTTGGAAGAAGCCATTCCGATTACCTACTTTCCAGCCTCCAATGTACCAGACTTATCGGAAGAGAAGGAAGAACTCCCGGACTGGGTCTCATCCTTGTCATCCAGTGGCAGTCTACTCTTTTCTGGTTGTTATGACGGAACAGTTCACGTCTACCGAAATGATCAACAGGCGCTGAAAGAGGTTCATTCCGTCACTGTATCCTCCGGACCTATAAAATGCTTGGACACCACGGTGCATAAGGACCAGACCTGGGTAGCCACAGCATCCCTTGATCACACTCTATCTATCCACACTTGCGATTCTAAGGGAAAATCTATGCAAGCCTTTGGTGAATGCATTCATGAAGGCTTCTCGTGCACCACGTCCTCTCTCAACTTTTGTTCAGCACCCTCTCAATTGTTGGCCAGTGGAGGTGGTAATGGAACGATTTGCTTGTGGGATGTGACCAATGCCGGCAACGATGGCACAGATGCCGCCCCCAAGAAGCGAAAGACTTCGAGTGGCAAGAAATCGTTACTGGCTCAAATCCGACCTACAGCAGTGTTGCAGTCGGCCCACTCGCAATTGGTCAGTGGGGTCTCCTGGGGCAATCATTCCAAGGATAATGCTACAACACTAATTAGTGGAAGTTGGGACCATTCGATCAAGCTTTGGGACGTCGAGCGACAAGACTGTCTGTTAACTTTGAATGGTTCTCGTGTCGTCGCCTGTCTAGACACGTCCTACCACTCCGAAGGTGTTGTGGCCACTGGGCATCCAGACTGTACCATTCGTTTGTGGGACGTTCGAACAAATCAATCGAACCAATCATCTGTTGTTTCCGACAAGACATTCCGGCCATCGCACAAGGCCTGGGTATCTTGTGTCCAATGGAGTCAGACCAATGCTTTTCATTTGGTCTCGAGTAGTCATGATGGGACTGTCAAGCTTTGGGACATTAGGTCATCAAATCCACTTCATACAGTCAAGGTATTCGGCAAAGAGGAAAAGGGTCTTTGTCTAAACTACCAAGCATCCGCCGAAGATGGCCCCAAAGTCTTTGTGGGGGGAAGTGACTGTTCCATCAAATGCATATCATTTTAGATGAACAAATTAATAAAAAAGCAATCTACGATAATACGATATCTTTGCAAGAGAAGTTTTAGACCTACTCGCCAAGCATGAAGGTTCAAGTCATGTCGGTTTCATTCAAAAATTCAGACGGTTTCCGGGAATCAAGCTTCAAGTCAGCTGCTGGGCGATAGCTTTCTTCAGGGGCTGAGAAGTGACGCTGGCAGACATCTAGCAGTGTTCGCATTTCCTCGATTGTATATGCCACTAGCGATATATCTTCAACTACGACACTGTTGCGCGAGTTTGTTGCAACCGCTGTGTTGTCTTGTACCCAGTCACATATCCCAGCGACGGCAATAGACAAGACATCTTCCAAGCTTCTTTCCCCACGATTCAATCCAGCGCAAATCAAAGAAAAAGCAAGCTCAGATATGCCATGTTCTTTGGCAACCTGTAAAGAGCTTGTGTATGCGGATTTCAACAGATGATCAGCAGCTTGGAAAGGATTCATAACATCACTTCCTTCATTAGAACGATTTGGCATTTTCCTGTCCCACTCCCAATAGATAGGCCCAACAGTGTGAATCACATTTGGCACGTGAAGGTTTCCGTAGTTGTTAGGTCCTGTCAAAACAGCACTTCCTGTTTGACACCGCGTACGGCCGTCAAGTAATACCTTCAGATTGTAACGATCTTTGATCATTGAGAGACCTCCAGCTTTATTTATGGCCGCATCTAGCCCACAGCCCCCAAGGCAAGCTTCATTTGTAGCATTGACGATTGCGACGGCTCGTCTTGTCTTTAACTCTGTGCAAGAATCTCTTAGCACGCTGCTCTCACCAATGTTGTCATGCGGCCGAAAAATCCCAGGTGAATAGTCAATAACGGATCCGCCCAAAATATGAAGGCGCGCTTTTCTGGATATGGCGTATGTCATCAATCTTGCCAACGGGGTGGCGCCGCTCAGCTTTTGTTGTCGCGCCAGGAGGCCAACAATTTCAAAGCTGATTGCCGTTGTATTGGAACGATGCTTCCACCTATCATTCAATCGAATTTCAAGGGAAGTCTGATACATTCTGATTGCCTCTTCATTCTGATTGCTTCTTCGAAGAACAGTTGCAATGTTGCTGTATATCTGGGCTGTCGCATCATGGTCAGGTCCAAAGACCTTCAGTTGAATTTCCAGAGCTTTGCTGTATAGCTCCAGACCTTTATTGTACTGCCCCAGACTGTTTTGGACTGCTGCCATGCTGGTATAGATTTGTATTGAATCAGAATAGTCAGGCCCAACTGTCTTCAACCAAACGGCTAATGCCCTTTGGTATAGCGTCATCGCACCCTCCAGTCTAGATTGACTCTGTAGGACACATGCCATGTCATGATAGGTTGAAGCTGTCAGATGATGCTCAGGACCAACTGCTTCCAATCTACTTTTCAGCGACATTTGGTGTAGCATCAATGCTTTGGTGTAGCAGCCCTGGCTATGTTGGACTTTTGCCATATTGCTGTATGTTTTTGCAATGTGCAAAACCCCCATTTTCTGATAGCTTGATGATAATGTTGGATGATCTTCTCCAATGTCTTTCTTAAATATTTGCAGAGCTTGCTTGGACTTCCAGCTTAACATGATTTCAAGGTCCTTTTCAAACATTGCCATGGCTTTCTCAAAGTTGCCTTGTTTCATGAAAAGATTACCCAATCTAGAATATAACTCTGTGGGTTCCAAAATTGATCTGGTTGCATTTGTCATTACGATTGCTAGCTGATAGTTGTTCAGTTGATGCTCAAAAAGGGTCGCTAACCGTTTCATGCGATCAGTCTCAACCGGCTTCTCTACAACTTTCTCCAAGGATTCCATATCTAATGAACTACCATTCAATATCATTCCTAAATCATCCCGTCGTTGGTTCAGACTACCGGTATTTGTTGCATCAGCATAGTACTCACGAAGGAACTCGTAGAACTTGTATGATCCAAGTTTTGCATCTGCTTCCTTGATTGCTCTGTGGTGGAGCTGGAGCTCGCAGGTGTGTTTTGTTCGACCTTTGCTTGTGGTAATCCTAAGTTTCAAATTCCAATCCCGATAGCCCGAGAGCGTCGGGTTGCAAAAATGGTTCGTTGACTTTACAATTTGAATCAAAGTGTCTTGGCGGACAAGCTCCAGAAATCGAAGCAGCTGTTCAGCATTGCCAAAAACTACACTTCCTCGTACGATGTCACAAAGCCATGACTCTGGTGGCCCAGGTTCCTTCTGCGAATAATCCTCGTTCGCCTTTTCCAAAGCGCGATGCTTACTCTTGAGCTTGTTGTCACCTGGCGGCAATTCAAAGTGAATGTCACAATCTGTAGGATCAAAACTTTTCCAAACTTGAATTAATTCCTTAATCTTGGCAACGAAAACAGGAAGAATTATCTCTGCAACTTCATACACTTCCATCAAGTTTTTGACCGGCTCACCATGCAGGGAAAGTTGTTGGATTGGGAGACTGATGTATGAAATATAATAATTGGCAAGCTTCTGACTTGAGTCGAAAATATTGTACAAAACCTCTAGTTGGTCAAAACATTTTAGATGTGATTGAAGGGTCTCAACATGTTTGCTCGCTTTGGGATCACGCTCAAGTTTGGAGACATCAACATGGTCAATCTGCATGAGAATATCGGCGACACTTCTCTTGCCTACTGGTTCTTCCACCATTGTAGAGATGGGGCAATGCAGATTATTGTCCTTCGTTTCAAAAAGTGAAACCCGTGAAGGATAGACCACTGGTGGGCAGAACTTCTCGTCAAAGCGGTCTCGGCAAACGTCCAGCAATGCTTGCATTTCCGCAAATGAAAATGCCACTAAAGATATATCTTCAACTGCGATCGTGTGGGGCAAGTCGGTGGAAAGTGGGATGTTGTCTTCAACCCACTCACAAATCCCATCAATACTGATGGACAGGATATCTTCCAAGCTTCGTCCTCCCCTGTTGCCCCCAGCACTAATCAAGGCAAACGCAAGCTCAGAGATTCCAATCTCCCTAGCAATCTCCAGAGCGTTTGAAAACGCTGATTTCAACAAACGGTCAGGCTCATGGAATGGATGAATTGTCTGGCCTGTTTCATCGACATTTGGAATATCGGGATTCCAACGCGAATAGTCAGGCCCAACAGCATGAATCACGTAGGGCACCTGAAGGTTTCCGTAGTTGTTTGGTCCCGTCACAACAGCCTTTCCTGTCTGACAACGGGCATTGCTGTTTGGGAGCAAGGCTATGCTGCGCCGATCTCTGATTAGAGATTCACCCCCAGCTTGATTAATTGCACTATCGACGGGACCACCTCCCAAGCATCGTTTATTTGTACAATTGACAATGGCTGCAGGTCGTGTGGGAGAATCACCATCAACGTTTTCCGTTCCTTGCGGCCGAAAGACCCCTCGTGAATAGTCCACAATCGATCCACCCAGAATATGAAGCCGCGTGTGCTCGGTTAAGCTGAAAGTTGCCAGTCTTACCAAGGGCTCACCGCTGTTCTCTTTCCGTTGTCGTCGCAAGATGGCAATTATTTCATTGCAAGAAATTGTTGCACATCTGTGGTTGGCCTTAAGTCGAATTTCCAGAGCCTTCTGATACAGTGCCATGGCTTCTTGCAATTTACCTTGTTTCCGAAGGACAATTGCGATAGTATCATATGTTTCTGCAGTATCGGCATGGTCGGATCCAAATACCTTCAGTCGAATAACCAACGCCCTTTGATATAGGGCCAATGCTTCTTCCAGCAAACCTTGGTCTTGTTTCACACTTCCCATTGTGAAGTAAGTATTTGCTATCGAATGATGTTCAGTGCCAAGTATCCTAAGTCGAATCTCGAGGGCCTTGTGGTGCAGTTCCAAAGATTCCTCCAGTTTACCTTTCTTCTCACGCTTATTTGTTGCCTTTTGGGACAGACTTTGCAATACATTCGCCATATTGCTGTAGGTATTTGCTGTTCTGGTATGGAACTTTCCAATTGACCGCAACCGAATATCCAGCGTCTCTTGATACAAGGCCAAAGCCTCCTCAAGCTTCCCCTGAATTCGGAGAATAATGGCCATGTTATTGTACGTTGTTGTAGTATTTGCATGGTCTGGACCAAATACTTTTAGTTGATTGTACAGCGCACGTCGATGCATATTCATTGCCTGCTCCAGTTGGCCCTGACTGTATAAAACATTCGCCTTGTTATTGTACGCTTGTGCCGTAGCTATGTGGTCAGGCCCATTGACCTGCAATTGGATACGTAGAGCCTCTTCGTACATTACTGTTGCTTCTTTCATTTTGACTTGCCTCCAGAAAAGAGTTCCCATTCTTGAGTACAGTTCCGCTGGTTCAAATTGATCTCGAATGGCATTCGTTATTACCATTGCTAGTTGGTAATCATTGATATGATTCTCAAATAGATCCGCAAGCATCTTCATATGATCTGTTTCGAGCGGGCTGGCTATCACTTCCTTCAAATATGACATGTTCAACGAACCACCAGTTGATATCATCCTCAAATCATTTATACGTCCTTGTAGAGTACCTGTTGCCCCAGCATAAAATTTGCGAAAGAACTCATAGAATTTGTGTGATCCAATCTTTGTATCTGCTTCCTCGATTGCTTTGTGGTGCAGCTGAAGCTCGCAAATGTGTTTGATGCCATCGTCTGCCGTAATTTGGAGCTGTAAATTCCAATCGCGATAACCGGAAAGCGTCGGATTCCGAAAACGATTCTTTGACTTTACTATTTCAATTGAATCGTCTAGGCAGACTAGCTCCAGGAACCGAAGCAACTCTTCCGCCCTGTCAAATGTCACACTTCCTCGAACAATGTCATTCAGCCATGACTCTGGTGGCCCAGGCTCCTTCTTCGAATAATCGTCATATGCCTTTTCTAAAGCACGCTGCTTCCCCTTGAGCTTGGTTTTCCCTGAGGGTAATCGAAGCTGAATGCCACATTCTCTAGGATCCGTTCTTTTCCTTGCTTCTCCTATCAATTTCTCGATTTTTGTTGCAAAGATTGGAAACACGATCTCAGCAACTTGGTACAATTCCACAAGATTCTGGACAGGCACACTTTTCACAGAGAGCTGTTGGATGGCAAGATTAACGTCTGGCAAATTATGGTTAGCAAGTGTTTGTTTCGGATCAACTTGGTTGTACAATTCTTCCATTTGATCGAAGCATTGAAGATACGATTGCAGCGTATCGAGGTATTTGATCGCATCAGGATGTAGTTCGATTGAGTTGATGTCGATACTGTCAATCTGTCCGAAGATTTCTTCGACACTCTGTTTGCTCGTCTTCATCTCTTCCAATGCCAAGATGATTCTTCATGATGTGATACAGTTGTAGCTCTTGGGGATGGCTCAAAAGTAGTTTTTTAACCGGGCTTCTCGACACAATTGCGAATTGCGAAACCCGCAATTCTGTTCTCTCTTCCTCTATTGGGTGCCGGTACGAACCGTTGTAAAATACCGCATATTATTTTTATCGATTTTATCACTGAAGTAATACCAGTATACCCGAGGTGTAGCCCGGGATAGCGCGCGTTTTTTTAAAAGTGCTGACGTCCACGACACGATCAGCTTTTTTATAAAAATGATTCATTCGATCCACTTCTGGAAATAAAAACCTTCATCACTCTCTCGTCATCCAAGCACTACCGGTACCAGGTACGTGTACCGTACCAGTACAAAAATTTATACGCAGAAGTCGCCTCAAATTATACTAGGTGTAGGCTCCTTCCAAAATATATTATATCACACCTGCACCGATTGCATCATTCTCAGGAAGTACAAAGGCCACAAGGACGCAGCATGATCATTAAAAAATCTAAAACCGTACAAAACGGAACTTTAACAGAAAGTATTTTTAGAGCGCAAGATGCCGCCAAAATTAATTTGTTTCCCATCATTGTTCTCAGTGGATAGAGTGTTTGATTAGCAATTTGTAGTCTCGTGTTGATAGAGACAATGCTATATCATGGCTGCTGGCTGGGCATGTTGTTGGTGCTGGGCGTCGTCGCCATCGTCTCCAGTTTTCCAAACATGG